CACTGGCTTTCCAGCGGACTCACTCTCTCACAGCTACGAGAGAAATTTATTCTCATTTCACTCCACCTCGATGGATTTTCATCGTCCTGGGCTCGTTGGAAAGATCAGGACCAAGCGAATCCATCCTGGCAGCTCTCAGCTCCATAGACACATCAGGGCAACTTCCACGTCCTCTCCCAACTACTCCACCGTGTCTCGGAACGGCATGACAACTCAATTTCACATTCTTGTTTGGCTTCTTGCCCAAATTCAACCGATGTTCACAATGCGCAATGCGTTTATGTTTGACGAAGTTACGAAACTTTGTACACTTGTCTATGCACTGCAATATATCGCGCGAATTTTTTGCGAGTTAAGTCGTACGTAGTGGATCAGGTCATGCATAAAGCGCGAGTTAACTCGTACTCAGCACGCAAAGGGTTAATAAGACGAGCAAGATCTCCGACACTCAAATTGGATGAATGCTTGAAGAATGCACCTCACAGATACGTGTCCATGTCTTGATGTCATTGCTTACAAAGGAAACATATGAGTACTATTTAAATGTTTCACTTGTGTGTGTGTGTTTTTTTACCATATGTATGTATGTACAGTGGCAGTTAACAGGTGTGAAGTACCCACCATTGTGAATGGAACCAGTACGAAAACATTTATACAATATGGTGAAGTTCTAAACTACTCATGCAATGACGGGCTTATAAAATCTGCATTCCCAATTTGTGAGCCGAATGGACGTCTAAGTGCGACTCCTACTTGTGAGAGTAAGTGGAAGCAGCCTTATTGTGCTTAAGTTCCTACTGATGATTCCGTATTTTCAATTGCTTTTTTAAGATGATGAAAGTGTCTGCTACAAACATCTGAGCTTGCGCTTCTTGGCGGCTGATTTAACACTTGACTCGTTCGCGACTGTTTCTGGAGCACACAACAAGCACACATCAAACATTCCACTCGCCAATACAGAAAGTATTTAAAAATGTCCATTTGCTCCACTTCCAAAGTAGGTGAGGAACTCTACTTCCTAAAGTCAGTTTTTCTCATGAATGGATATCTGAAGAGCTGTTGAGAGGACTTATGAGTGAAAGAGGAAAAATAATATGAAGACAATTTCATGCAGGCAGAAATAGAAAGACAATAATTTCATGGAGTCAAAGAATAGAAAGACAATTTCATGGAGTCAGGAACAAAGGGCACATAGCAACCAAGTGTATGTCCAAGACACGGTGCAGTAAATGTGATAGACGGCATCGCACCAACATTTGTGTCAACCGGCAGCAGACATTCTCCGGAACTTGCACCCGCATGCCCAACTCAGCATCTGTCCGGCTGTTGAGCAGACAGATTGCAAGTTGCTGCTTCTCATACACCGTATCCTTCATGGCAATGTCAGTTTGCTGCTCAAATCACACCTGGAACGCTGCTCGCTGCCCCGTGCCACCAGAGTTCAGGATGCCTGCAATCTGCCCCTTCCCAACATCCGCAGTACTTCGGGATCTAACAGACCAGTATTTGCTGCTGCTAAGTTGTGGAATCTTTCGCCCCCTAGTCCTGCCCTACCACATGCCAATGCAAACGTCTATTGAAAGTTTACTTTCTCGGCTAATGCTATGATGTTCCCTATCCCCGAGAGATCTCTAGGCTCACTGTTTTCTTGACTCCACCCATGATTGAAAGTTTACTTTCATGATTCTTACGCTGAGAGATTCCTAGACTCACTGTTTTTTCACCCCTTAATCCAGGGTATCTAATCTTGTTCTTAAATCTTTCCTCCCTTTCCATCGTAATCATAACATTGGTCATGATTGCCCGTTTGACTTGCGATGTAAAATAAAAATAAAACAAAAACAAAAAATTACATGAGTTCCGAATTGCCATTCTAGCCTTTGGTCAGTCAAGAGCCAAGACCTGTCACCAACTGGAGGACGACTGCTCCACCCATTGTTGAGTCCTTACTGAAACTGGCCCTGGCAGGGATGCTGATGTCTGTCATCGCCGACACGGATGACAGCAACGCTTCGACAGATCACGCGTGTGTCAATAGGTCCGTCAGAGAAATACTGCTCTCCATAAAGGCTTTCTCTCACAGACTACGAAGTCTAGAAACATAGCTGTCGATCGATTCAGCTGCTGCTTGCTTTTCTCACCTGAACAAATAAATTTCATATTCCACGTTGCGCTTCCGCATAACGTGGGCAAGCAAAGCATCTTTTAGATCACTGCACGTTCCAGTCTGGCTGCCATCTAAAGTTGAATACAGGTCAAAGACATCCTTTCCTCCCACATGCCACCTCCCACTCCCACACTGATCCTTCTCGCGGTCGTCACCAGCGATTTTGGCTTGTTACGGAATCACAGTCATTCCGTTCCCTGGGACGCAGGACACTAAGGACAACACTAGTTTGTTTCACATTATATTGTTGACATGACGGAATTGAAGACTGAACTCAAAGAGGCGAACAAGAAGACGAACAAGAAGACTAACAAAAGGACTCTATACTACAGAATCGCGCATGCTCATATCGCACATGCACACGACTAGACGAGACAGTTTGGGGAATGCCATCGCACAGGAAAACAACACATCATTTCACAACACCTGTCCCCTTGATTACATTCCACAAAATAATAAACCGACACCATGTTCCACACGCACAACAGCAAAAGGAACCAAAGCTAAAGAGGAAAACCTACAACCAGCATACATTGTAGCACAGCAAGCTAACAACAAGCCAACAAAAAACCCAGAGTGGACGGTCTAAAGAAAAAAATGGGCCACGACACAGGGCCTACCAAAAAAAAAACCCAGAGCCGACGCTCCAAAACCAGGCCATGACACAGGGCCAAACAAAAGCCAGCAGAGCGACGACGTTGCTCCAGAACCAGGCCACATCACAAGGCCAAACAAAAACACAAGAGCCGATGCTCTAAACACAGGCACACAAGGCCAACCGAGAAACAATAGCCAAAGCTAAAAACAAATAATGCCATGCGCGCAACAACGCAAAATAAATATACGTGTACAACACAAAACAATGCAGAAAACAGAATGACGAGAAGAGCAACAGAACGACAACAACCAAACTCAACTACACAGCAACAAGCAACGACCTGAGCAGCGAAAGAAACAAGATCAAACAACACAGCTAGCAAGACAACAACGTCTTATTGGCGATGGTGCCATCGTGAGAATAAAGAATTCAAATTCAAATTCAAACAAATCAAGCAAATCAACCCCAGACGAGATTTCAAAGCAAACATCCTACCACTTGTCATCTCTTCCGTATGTACTTGCTCACATTGCTCAGCACATCTATAGCTCCATTGCGCCCAGCCTATGTGATAAACTCCCTATTGCCATCGCTACTGCCTCAGCAAGCAGCTAAACTTTGATCTCTCTGTATCTGATCCCCGTGCCTGTAATTATTTTTCTCTTAATGGCCACAGGCCATCGTGCGAATAAAAGATTTCAAACAAAGGAGGACACACAGTCGGTGATGCCAGACTCGTCCACTGGCCTCTGGCGAGTCACAGCCACACACTCCATGCGATACCTGCCGTCCCAGGCTCGAGTCCACATTTTCAGTTTCCGTCCAGCACCTCCTCTGCCTCCTTTTCCATCGTTTTGCGCTCCCACCAGCTTTTATCTCCTCTGCTCCCACGCTTACTTTTTACTTCAAAGTTGCTTTGTTGTTGACTATGACGACGAACAGACAAAGTGACTCATCCTCTGCGTCCCGGGTTTCGGCACCACGCTGTTACGGAATCACAGCCATTCTGTTCCCCGGGACGCAGGACACAAAGGACAAGACTACTGCTAAAGCCATATATATATAACGAAGTGCTAACTCTAACGAGTTAACGAGGAGAAATCTGTCGTTAAAGTCGAAATTGTTATACAGAAATCGATACATATACTGTCCAATTGAGCGTTGAGAATGAGTGGAAATCGTTACCTTTGGTACACGTAAACTAGTCAATTTTGTGAAATCGTTATATATGCGCCTCGTTAGAATAATGCCTTTTACAGTAGCTTGTTTTACATTATATTGATGACATGACGGAAATGAAGACTGCACTCAAAGAGACGAGCAAGAAGACTGAAAAAATGACTCTCAACAAGAGAATCGTGCATGCTCATATCACACATGCACGCAACTAGAACAGACAGTTTGGGGAATGCCATCACACAGGAAAACAACACATCATTGCACAACAGGCTGGCATCAAATAGTTCTCAAATTTGGCAATCCTTCTCTCCCACTGGAGGCCCATAGATTCCACGGCTTCAAGAGAAAATGAAGCCAAGGACTGCTTTGCTGCAGAATCCATCCTAGCATCCTAGACAAGACACTTGACTTCATCGCCAAAATATTGTTCACACAATACTCAGTACTCAACTGAGGCCATTCATGGTAATAACTTTCAGAGCGAAAACAGGAAGAAGAACGACAACCAAAAGAACCAGCGGAGAAACTATGCATGCACAGCACGTGTAAAGTCAAAAAATAATGACTTCCCAAGTACCGATAACAGAAGTACAGTCGACTGCACTTATAACGAACTCGCATTAAGCGAATTTCGTGATATAGCGAACCATTGCCCATGTCCCTGTTTCAACCCATACAAAATAGACCCTTTATAGCAAACTGGTTTCAACAAAATCTTGTAGGGCTCCATATGAACCAAGTTCAGTCATACTTTCATGGGGCGCAGGTGAGTCATGATTTTCTGCTTGTATAGCATAAGTGCATTTCTGTTATAACAAACGACTGTAGTCGTCTCGGCTTCATCACCTTCATTATTATGCTCGACCCACATATGTGAATAATTATGTAAAAAAGTGTGTGTGTGTGTGTGTGTGTGTGTGTGTATGTGTGTGTGTGTGTGCGTGTGTGTGTTTGTGTGTGTACATCTACATATTGCCAATGTCTGATGCAGCTGGGTGGCCAGCATGCGGAAATACTGGGATGGAATATTTATATGTAGACGAAGAGAGAAGCTTCAGACATAGCCTGGAATTTTGCAACTCATTAGGAGGGGCCACACTGGCTACTCCGGTGAATGCTGAGCATTACGAGTGTATTCGCCACATTAAACCACCGACCAAAGCAATATGGACTGGTATTTACTCGCGGACGTATACTACCCAAACTTGGATAAGTGTTGAAGATGGCTCCGCTGTACCATCCACTCAATGGAATGCTCAACAGCCCACCACATCCCCTGCTAAACGTTGTGTCCAGATGTTGGCTCATAGCGTGTCTGGAGGTGGAAAATGGGAGAACACGTTCTGTGACATGCAACTGCCAGCTGTCTGCCAAAGACAAAGTGAGTGTTTCTATAATGGAATCCACCATGATGATTTCTGTGTAAAGATAAAATCTGAATGCTTCACTTCTTTCACTGCACTTCAATCAGGCCCATTATAAAGAAGGCATGCTTTGGTAATGTACTCCGATTCAAGTGCAAACAATGGTGAGTTGCCAAGAACAAGATAAATTGTTCTGACGCTACCACCCTGAATGGCCAAGGAAGATAACTCGTCACGCACACGCAGCATATAGAAACGAGCATAAATCACTGTACAAACAGCTATAACTTCGCCTCCCAACTTCAAATTCAACATATGAGGCATCGGCAGATAGAACCGGGGTCCTTGCGATTTTTCAAAATGTCAATATCTGCAAAAGACCGAACCGATGTCGTTTTTAGTCACCGAGATCAAAGCGAAAATACTTCTTGCGCTATCGCATTGAAAGTGCATTCCCCTTAGTGGCTTCACTATAATGTTGTCATCATCGCAGTTGTAGTTTATCCGCCAAGGACTTGGAACGTCCAGGTAGGCGTTTTCAGCCACCATTGAGGCATTTGCGCTCTGGGTAGCGTGTGCAAATCATGCGCTCAAAAGGGAGCAAAACAAATCATTTCTTGGAGGAGCGATTCCGTCACAAATTCGTAATGAAGCACGAGCGGCTGGAATATTTGGCAGCTGGATCTCCAGAGATACTCCGCTGCCTGGGATAGTCTCCGCAAGAAGAATCAGGTGAAAGTGAAGAGGTTTGGCTCATGTGACAAGCCATCAGTGGAGGCAGTGCAGATGATGAGTTTGAGAGCTCCGTGACTCGAAATGGCGACACGGACAAGAGCGCTGAGAGTGCCGAACGAGATTCAGTACTCCGTGGTGACTATTGGCAGCTGGATAAGTTGGTGAGATGCGGAGATCATGAAATTGTGTCGCAGTATAACGCATGTATATACAAGCTGCTGTGCATAGGAGAGCAAGACATGCTTGGTGGATGTATCCGGCTTGGCCCAGCATGCATGTCTAGCGTGGTAGGTTCTTCCCAGTCGTGTAAAATGTCAGTTGCTTGGCTTCTTTCTGTCTGACAAGTCTGCATACAACACCAGACTTGCACATGACAGGAATTGAGTTTTCAAGTTCATAGCAGCAAGTGCAGGCAACAATGTTACTATAATATCAACTAGAGTACTCTATGCTCTCCTGAAGACCTATAAATATGCCTAGCTATCGTCAACCACTCCATCAGAGCCAACTGTAACTGCGTTCCATTTTGCCTTTTTCCTGATCATTTTTGTCGACCTTCACCCATCATTTCGGGCGTTCTTGTTACCATCTTGCAAAGTGTCCAGAACTTCAAACGTTGGCCCATAGATCACTCATTTAGTGGAAAGTTCAAAGCCATCAAAAACTCATTTTCGCCAAATATCACCTAACCCCGTTGCCCATGCCTCATGTGATGGCTCATTGGAAAGCCATTGAACGCAGCTTTCCAACGATGTATCATTCAATATAGCGCGGAGTGAAATACACCGGGGCCGAAGTGCGAAGTTCGGAAACAGGTGAATGTCAAATTTCAAGCGTGTGACCGTGACGCACTTCATGCTAAAGGTGACAAGATGTTTGATTACGGAGGGTTTCCCTTATGCACCAACATGACGTGAGTTCCCTTCGGGAACGGACACGATAATTTACTTTACTTACTTTACCAACATGAGCGCTAGAGCAATCTGATTCTTCTGCTGGTGTTTGAATGGTCACTGTACCTTGATTGATTGAGAGCTTCAAATCGAAAGAAAATTGTCTCCGAGTTTAAAATAGCACTACTAAGGCGCGTTAGAGCGGCTTTTGAAGTTGTACTTGGATTCATGTGTGTTACTTGTGTCCAGAAGCTGGTTCTCAACCATCAATGATGCCTCCAACTACTCCGGTGTCATACGACAAGCTAAAACGGCGGGAAGCCAATAATGTGTGCCGTAATATTTCCGAAAACAATAATAGGATTGATAGTGATTGCCGTTTCCAAGGCCTCATTACAATACCGATCCGTCTGCCAAAGACTATTATACACCTGTGAGTTCAATAATTACTTGCTGCATGTGTTCTAGTTTTTGAAATATCTTGTGCCACGAAAAGTGCCTTTGCAGGATGTTGAAGCGAGAAACAAAGTTGTTGTGTGCCCTTCCCTGCATTGAGTTGTCGTTGCTGAAGGTCAACAAGATATTTCGGTTTTGTAATGGAATCCGCTGATCGTGAGGTGTGTTGCAACGAGTGCCATATAGTAATACAAAGACTTGAGGAATTGGGCAGGCAGGCACTCGGTGTTTCTAGTTGATTTATTTTCGGTTCGATTTATTTGTGCTTCGATTTATTTGCATTTATTTGGCACGGCTACGCTGACACTACCCAGTCGCGTACCCTTTTGCAGATATCGGTCTACATTTTTAGTGCATGTGGTGTCCTTATTTTGATGCATGTAGATTAATGCAGTACGGTGGCTTTTTTTGCGCTGCTGCGGGTGCGCTGTAGGTGCAAGTGTGCTTGCACGTTCTGCTGAGGAGAGTGTTTTGGCTTTCGCTTGCGCTGCTTGGTTCTTCGAAGTTTTACTTTTCTGGTTGTTGTTCCTTCCGTGATGAACGGATAGTCTTTCTATCTCTTTTGTGTAACCTGTATTCATATTTCCTGCAATGTAAATATCACCCCACTGAGTTGTGTGAGCTTGTAGTCGGTTGGACCAAAAGATGCGCCTCTAGAACCAGATCGACGAATTATCCAGGCAGGTGGCAGGTCTAAGTGAGGAGGTTACGGCCCTCAAAGAATCCGCCATTGCTCAACTAAATGCTCCCACACAGGCACACCGTAATAGATAGTCATAGCCGTGAGATACAACATTCAGCTGACCTCCGTAGCATGGGTGACGGCAAGTGTCACGAGTTGCTCACATTGGGTATGCTCCAAGATGAATCCTGGAGGTTGGTATCCTCGGATGTACCCAGGGTCGAACAAATTGTGATATATTATGTCAGCAACCTGAGGGCTGACTGCACAGCAGAGAGCCTCACAGAGTTCATAACAAACAATTCCAAGGCAGTAACACCAGCAGACCCTGCGGCTGTCCATAACTGCAGCATGCACTGTACAGAGTCAGGAAAGTTATCAGCAAGGCTGACCATAGATGCGAATGCCCCTGCGCCTGTCACGTCGCCAAATTTCTGGCCACGGCCCCAGCAAGCAAGACCATGGGAGTTCCACAACCGTACTCACTCCAACAGTTGCCCTGCCTCACAATACACCACATCCAGAAGTGTGCCAGGAAAAAAATCACTAGTTCTATGCATACGCTTCAAATTTGGCCAGGTTCAGCACACCCTGTTAGAAAAATTCGATTTTAACCACCAGGACTCAAACTAGGGACCTTTGCTTGAGGCCAGCGATGTTCTAACCTATCGTAGAGGAGGTGGTTTTCTATGTTCTCTCACCGCCGTCAGCTATCCCGTCTTCTCTACCCTTCCAGGTACCCTGAAGGTCCTCCAGAGGAGAATTTATCTCCAGCAAAGCGTTGTTGATCCGCTAAATTCGTGTCGAGATAATTATATTCTCCCAGTGCTGATAATGTAGAATGTTGAATCTGTGATAATTCAACATTCTATATTATCAGCACTGGGTGAATATGTCTCGACGAATTTAGCAGATAAATAACGCTTTCCTGGAGATAAATTGTCCTCTGAAGGACACCTGGAAGGGTATAGAAGACAGGATCGCTCACGACTTTGAGAGAACGCAGAAAACGACCTCTTCGATTGAAAATTGGCCAAAAGTATGCGAAATGTATGTGCGCAGGTGCATTTCCACTGGCAAGCTAATCCCTCATTACGTCATCAGCGCTTGCTCGGCGAAATTCAAAAAGTCATCTTCCTGCTCGACTCGATCGCTTCTGGAGACTCGTTCTTGCTCGAGGGGTCTTCTCTTTCACCTACCTTGGTCTTGCCATCGAAAACTCGGCGTCGAAAATGAAGCCGGAGTGTCCCTTTAAAACATGGTAATTTACACTACCCTTACCTTCCTGGCCCATTTAGCAGCACACCTAAAAACAATCGAGCATTAATGCGAAAATGCGACACCTGTTGTCGCCACTCGCCTGTTTTGTAAATGTTTCAAGACAACCTCTTGAATGATTCTCGTTTTTGACTTTACCTTGTCTGTATATTTTTTTATTTTCCTCTGAGTCATGTTGGTGCAAACGCGCACGTGGAGATGCTCCAGTCTACAGGTATGTCGTCTGTTCCGTTCTTGCCAGTGTCCATGCTATTGTTCTACTGACACTGATAATTCCCTCCTTCTGTCTAATCGCGTTCCACTCTGCTTCTCCGTCTCTCTTCTATTCTGTTTCCGCTTCGAACGTGTAGTTGTTTCAGCTGCTCTCATGATAATTTATTCGTATTTTTGAAACCCGTTGTACGCGGGATCATGCGCTTGTACAACTGTGCTGTGCTGTATGACTGTGCAATGACCATGACTCTGAGTCATGCTCGCACTGTGATGCCTTTTGTGTCACGTATATGTCGTGACGCAAGCACGCTGTGCCTTGTCTGGTCCTTTTTTGCTTCTTTTTGCAGTTTTGGTTTTTGAGCTATGCCGGTTATGGTTGAAGTGTGTTTGTAAGGAGAAATCCAGAACGTTTAGTAATAGTGTGTTGTCACATTTGTGTTCGGAGAGTGTCGGATTTTGAATTCATGCCTGTTACAACACTGTACTCTTGATGACCTGGGTAAAGAAAGCATAGCCATGGTATTATTATTGTAACATGGAAAACGTTTACACAAGTTATGCGATCGAGTCCACCAACCAAATCAGATTTTGAACAGTCAGACGTGCACAATCTAGCACAAAACTGAGAAGGAGTACTGAGACATTGCACGGTATGACAATCAGCTTGAGCACTGACTGCTCAATAGTGGCCTTTAAACTTGGAAGGTTCATGGATATTAGTGGTAATTCCAAAAGGAGGGGGGAGGAGGAAAGTGCCATCGAGCTGAGCACACGCTGCTTTCCGAGGCTTCATGGAATTCTGGCCTGGTATGATGGCGGGACACCAAGACCAGGCAGATGGGTCAAATAGCAGTTCGAAAGCGCAAAGCAACTACAACCCAAATTGGGAGGCTCATAATTATCAGAAATGAAAAAAATGTCGTTTCCTTGGTATCCATTGTTTTTTAAATATATATATATATATATTCGAAGGAAAACAAGGTTAAACCAGATAATGTTGCCCTTTCGTTGGCGCTTCTTCTGCTTCTCCTCTGTCTCGACGTACTCTATACGAGATAGTTTGGAAGCTCAGGGCCCTACGCTATGCTTTTTTTGCATTGCGAGAGTCAACTTTCTCTTTGCATTCGAGGGTAATACGACACAGTCTACCATCCTGATCACCTAGGCAAAAAAAGCGTAGGGATGTGATAAATTTTTCCTTTCTCCTATTTTTTTTAGATGTAACCTGGGATTCGAACCCGCAATATCACCCTGCATGCATTCTCCAATACACTTCGCATACATACTCATTTTTCCAAGTTGCTTTACGATTTTGCATTTGAAAGCCCTATTGCAATATTGTGGCCAGCTGTCTTTGATGGGACGGGACAAGACAGGTTTGGGATAGCGCCAGGCATGCCAATGCTGTCCTTATTGGTACGGTACGGGACAGGTACGGGATAGCGCCAGGCATGCCGATGATGTCCTTGATGGTACGGTACTTGACAGGTACGGGATAGCGCCAGGTATGTCGATGGCACAAACAAACACGGAATTAAAGCTGTGTGGACCCTGGCTAAAGCCAGACCTTACTGAAGTAACGTATTCTGCATAGCTACGGGAATTTACCGTATGTCCACTTGCGAGCAATGCGTCATTATAGAGGGGGCACTGCGTTGTTTCAACAGCTACTTCTATATTTGTCGACGCCAAATTAGACTGCCTCTTTGCTTATGTTATTTTTTGCCCCGGGAAAAATTCTTGGGGGGGGGGGGATTGCTGTATACGTATATGTCATAAGGCGCATGAGCGCCTGGGCTCGTGGCTGTTTTTATTTATTTATTTATTTTATTTTATTTCACCGTCCAATGGCAGAAGCCAATGCCAAGGAGGGGGCGTTAGCCAGCCATGGCTAGAGAAGAAAAAGAAAGAAAGAAGGATAGAATTATGATAATAGGAAGAAAAGAATGCATCAGTGGGGTGAAATTTATCACTATGTTGACCATGGTGGAGAGCGGCGAGATCAGCTAGCAAAAGAGGCGAGCGAGCCTACAACGTGGCATGACATTTAACATAGTCTATGAACTGTCTAATAATGGATATTATCTTCATTCCATGGGCAGCTTGAGCCAATACGAATATGCAGAAAACATAGGAGATTTGGTAAACATTGTTGACAAAGCTCTGGGAATTACTATGCCATTGCGAGTGTCCCGTTCGAAAGTAGACGAATTATACTTGCTGAGATGTTCAGGGACAATGTTCAGTTTAATATGATGGAACAGAACGCATGACTGTCTCTGCAACAGGATAGAGATGGGGCTGGTGGAGGCCAAACTATATAGATCAGTAGAGGAAATAGAGAGGGTTAACGAAAAAAAGTTTACATACTTCGAAGTACTCGCTGTGCTGGACTAGGCGTCCGAGAATGTGAGCTCTCTTTTCCTTGTCTTTCAGTTCCTTCGTTATAACAATAACTATACGAACCTGTGTAATGCTGTGTGTGGGCCCTTAGTGCCAGCCATAACACCAGTCTAGTCAAGCAAGGAGAACAAGAACAGCAACTCGCATCGCACTCCACATCGTATTTTTTTGCCGCTGAATTCAAATTCTGGATTTTCTCGACTTTTTCCAACAAAAGCTGTTGTCATATTTTAGCGCGCTGTGGCTCAAATAATGCAACTCCTACAAAATGCACAAAGTCACGATGCTTTGAAGATACGAGCATCCCGTAAATTCCCATCAATATTCCCTACACACTCATCATAGTTATATTAGGGGATTCAGATTTACTCATTAGTACGAGATCAGAGGTGAGTGGGTTAATCCAGCTTCCCACCTTTTGACCAGTATTGGCATTCATAATCGAATCTGTCGCACCCAACCCATCTCCAAGGAGATCGCGGCGAGGCGATGGAGCTTTCTGGGGCATGTGCTCCGGATGCCATCAGGGGCA